TGTGATGTGCATGCCTGGTGCAGGGGATCCCCGTAACTACAGCGCAATCAGGATGTGAGACACTTGCATAAGTATTTCTAAGTCAGGTAGAAGGGGATACAGGTGTCAAAAGGCAGATAGCGAGAGCCGCCAAGGAAGCTGGGAAGCATGGGTCATCCTGTCCGAGCCATCCTTGCTTACGTGAACTCAAGTTCCCTATTCTGCTTAAAGTAGTTCAAATTTACTTTACACAACCTGTAACTAAAAGAGTTTCAAATCTTATTTTAAAAATGAAGCAAGTATGGCTCACCCAAGATCATATACAGCCGGCCTATCTCTGACTCCAGCCTACTTCTACTAGACCATAGCATAGGAAGTTTAACACAGGGCCCTACTCAGTCCTTGTCGTTCTGTGGGTTTATTGCTGTTGTTGCTGGCCTCAGCTCTCCTCTGGAGACGAGATAACTTTAAAAAAAAAAAAAAAAAGCTAGCCAGATAGTGTTGATGCCGATTCAAGCAGGAAAGTAAGAAACCACCCAAGAGGTGAGGGCTTTCTCTCTCTTGTCAGGTCATGGAGAGCAGGTGGGACATTTTGGGGAAGACACTAATCCCAAGTATTATTTTCTCCCCTATAAAGATGGGGCCTACCTTAGAACACTTTCATGGCCTCCTATAAGCTCTAGGAGCTGAGAGTCCCACTCCCACCCAGGGCTCCACAGCAGCAGTCTTAGGAAGGAAGGAGTTATGAGAAAAGAGTAGTCAGGCCGCCAACGGGCTCCAACCCAGAAGCCGGGGTACCCTACCTCCATCTCGTAGATGCGCTGTGCATTGAGGTTGTCCCGAATAATCACCCGAGACAAATTGCTCTTGGGTAAAAGCTTCTTCACATTTGCATCGCTGGAATTCATTAAGCTAGAGAGGGCAGGGGAAGATGGAACAGGTTAGAGACAACTGGTCAAGGCCTGATTTGATAGGTGCTCTTTGAGTTTATTTTGTTTTGTTTTTGAGACAAGCTCTTGCTACGTAGCTCTGGCTGGTCTGGAAGTCACTCTGTAGTCAAACTGGCCTGGAACTCACAGAGATCCTCCTGTCTCTGCTTCCCACATGCTGGGACTAAAGGCATATACCACAACACCCAGCTCCTCCTTGGCTTTCAAGATAAGTGGTTTTCTCACTTTCAGAGGAACAAGGAAACCACTTTAAGTTTTGCCTGTAGATGAGGTCTGCTAAGAGGCTGCTTCCTAAACAGGGAGAAAGAGCATCCTGGGAGGACACAGAAAGGCCCAGAGCAGTCCTCAAGAGAGGCCAGCAGAGAATCAGAAGAGTCCTCAAGAATTGCTGTTGTCCGTTGTCGTTACTGGCACCCTGTGCTGGTGCTGGGCCAGAACCCAGGGCTACACACGCTGATCAAGCGCTCACCCCCTGAGCTCGCCCACTGTGCTGGAGTGGTCATCTTATGAGAAACTGCAGGGTAAGAGCAAAGGTGGAGGTCTTAGATGAATGTAAGTTGGAAGGTAGAGGCAAAAGATGAATCTGAGAGAGGCTGAGATGGGGAGTTCTTCCTTCATAGCCTGGATCTGAGGGTGTCTGGGAAGTGGGCAGAGAACAGAACAGGATGAAGAAGGTGAGGAGGGAAGCTGGTTGTGTTGATGCATGCCTGTGGTCTCAGCACTCGGGAAGCTGAAAGGAGGAAGATGGAGAGCTCAAGGCCAGCCTGGGCTACACAGGCAACTCTCTTTTAAAAGGGAAGAAAGGAAGGAGGGAGGGAGAGATAAGGAGGAGTGTGGGTGGACACAGGGTTAGTTAATAAGGGAAGTCTAATAAAAGAGTTTGGGGAGTGAGGGAGGTTTGGGGTGCTACAGGACTTCTGGAGACTCTACTAGTTATGTTCCACCTTTTGACACTACAAGACAACAATGTCATTGACAAAGTTCACACTCAGGAATCACATAATTGAGTTACCAAAAGAAGATTCCCCCATCTATGCCTAATCTCCCAATGTTTTAATTTGCTACATTGTGTTGAGTTGGACATTGGCATTCATAGGAATCCTGAACCCCTTGGTATCGATGGGTCGGAGACACCCACAAGGGTGAGAAGTATGGGGCAATATGAGAATGAGGAGCTGGGGACGAGGCTCAGTTGGTAGAATGTGTGTTTAGCAGGCACACAGTTCTGGTTGGTCTCCAGCACCAATAAAAACTCACCTATTTGGGAAGCAGAAGCAGGAGGATCAAGACCATTCTTAGTTACATTGTGGTTTAAGTTAACCTGGGGTATATACCTTAACAAATAAACAGCATCAAAGGATGTTGCTAGCCAGTAGGTTTTCATTTTCTGATAATTTAGTTACACTATGAAGCTTTTAAAATGGTTTTTCCATTAAAAAAAATGTTCAGACCAGGCAATTGTGGTGCATGCCTTTAATCCCAGAACTGGGAAGGCAGAGGCAGATGGATCTTTGTGAGTTCAAGGCCAGCCTGGTCTTCAGAGCAAGTTCCAGGACAGGCTCCAAAGCTACAGAGAAAACCTGTCTCAAAACAACAGCAACAACAACAATGTTTATACATTCTAAGTCATCAGATAAAATACATGCAATCAAGTATAACTATTTTGGTGTGATAACTAGTTAAGAGGAAAAAAAGAGATTGCTAAACAGTGATATTTTGTGCTGTTTGTTTTTAAAACTATAACACACATACATATATATGTATTACCTTAGCCTATTAGTTGTTGTGATAAAACACTAATCAAAATCAACCTGAGGGGAGAGTGTTTGTTTCAACTTACAGGTTAGAGTTGCTCATCAAGAGAAGCTAAGGTGAGACTCAGTGTAGGAGCTAAAGCAGGAAAGCCTCTACTGCCTTGCTTTCCATTACTCTATACCACCCAGCCACCTGCCCAGGAGTGGCACCACCCACAGTGGCTGCATTATCCCACATCAATCACTAGGAATCCGCCCCACAGACAGGCCCACAAGTCAATCAGCTTTTGTCCCAGGTAACTCTAGCTTGTTTCAAGGTGACAGAAGCTAACCAGCACAGGACCTTACATGTACACATCAAAATGTTAACAGTGATTGCATCTGCTCATTCGTTTTGTTGGTTTGTTTTCAGTTTGTTGTTGATGATGTTCTAATTAGTGTGCATTACTTTTGTAATGATTGACAAGGCATTTTAAAGGAAACCAGGGAAATGCCCGATGTGCTGGCGAAGTGTTCCCTGAATACAGATTCCCAAACAAACAAGAACAAGAAAGGAAGAACTCCATGCACATTTTCAAGAATTGATTGAAACAGAAACAGCTGGCTGGCTGATACACACAGGGACAGAAGGAACAACAAACATGAAAGCTTATATTACCTTCATAAATTCTTTTCATTAGCACATCAGAACAAGATCATCAGAAAGCATACTACTTTTATCATTAGGACCAAAACAAACAAAAAGATTTATTTTTTGAGACAAAGTCTCATATATCCCAAGCTGGCCTAGAACGCCCTCTTAAACTGAGGATGATCTTGAATTTCCAACCCAAGTGCTGGGATTACAAGCAAGGGCAACCATGTCTAGTTTAAGAAGGGCAGGGGGGTCAATAACCTTTCAAGGGATTATAAAATGTTTTCCAATTCACTTTTTATTGGTAGGTAACAACTGTCTTCTGGGTGTGCTTACCTTTACAAATTTTACAAAGAAATCAACATCCCGGGGCTGGGAGATGGCTCAGAGGTTAAGAGCACTGGCTGCTCTTCCAGGGGACCCAAGTTCAATTCCCAGCAACCACATGGTGGCTCACAACCATCTATAATGAGATATGGTGCCCTCTTCTGGTGTACAGGCATACATGCAGACCGAACACTATACATAATAAATAAATCAAAAACAAAAACAAAAAAACCCAAGATTCCTATTTCCATTTTTCTGCCTTCTATGAAAGTCAATTCAACATACCCAGGTGCTGACGGAAAAACAGGTTTAAAGGTAAGGAATTCGCACACAAGTCTAAACGCTGTTTTTGAGGGAAAGAACCTAAATACTTAGATCCTCTCTACTCAGTGACACATCAAATTTATCAACAGTAGACATGAAAAGGGAGAAAGGTTGGAAATACTCTTTCAAGCAATAAATAGTGGTCATTTTGAACCAAATTGCTTTTCTATAATAAATCCTCTGTAGGAACTTGGCTGAGCGAAGGGTTGAGAAAGCGGGGGCAGGATTAAGGCTTCTGGGTATTGGGGCCAAACAACGGGGAAACTGAAGGCTTTTCCAGAATCACTGGAGAATGAGAAGGCTTGAAAGCGGGTGGTCAAGTAATTGTGGGCCTGAGACCTGAGCTTCATCGGGTGTCACCTCAAAGAGAGCTCAGACCGCACAATGTCAAGCCTACGGTAAGTCAGGGCAGGATTCATTCGGAGGGTTGAAAATGGGACTACGACTTCAAGCCGGCGTCCAGGCTTCTTCCTACAGATTGGCCTGGGTCTGAAGTCTGAGGAACTCGGATGGGCAGGAGTAGGGGACACGACTGGGGCGGTGTGGATCTGAAAGCTCGGATTCCCTCACAAGTCCCGGATCTGACAATCGCTCGGCACACCAGAACCACACCTGAATAACAACTTCGGAATTGCAGGCCGCGGCCGCAGGAAGTAGATCTGTGGTTGGACGCGGAGGCCGAGATCCGGCTGGCTGTCTAGTCTCTCGCGCCGGAAGTCCGTGCCAGAGGCAGTGGGCTCCTTGGCAACAGACTCGAAACTCGAGCCCAGATCCCATTTGACTGAAGGCTTTCTGGGCTGTGTGGAGGATCCTAACCGGCCGGCTAAGGACTCGGGAATGTTAGCTAAGCCAAAAACCATGCTGGAAGGGCGCGCGGACGCCGAGCGACTATCTATACTGAAGTCTAAGGCTGAGCTCTGCGCGTTGCCCTGGAGACAAGCAAGGGGCGGAGCCTGCAGGCTGCAGACCTCCAGATCTTTGTGACTCTCGGTAGGGTGTTGCCTAGGAGACGCGTGAGGGGGCGGGGCCTGAAGGCGGCCGCCCTGAGGTCTGAGACGCGCTGCTAGGCGCGTTTCCGTGGAGACAGACCGGTATGCTCTGCTGCAGCCTTCCCGGCTTCTCCCAGAGGTCTGATGATTGCGCGAGTCCTACGACGCTGCGTCCGTGTGCAGAGCAGGCCGCGGCTTCGCCTTAGGCCCAGAACTGCCCATTGTTGCGCGAGGAGAAGCCGTTGCTACTGAGATCCAGGATCATGACGGACCCTCTCAGAGACCGTCGCCCGCGGCTCCGCCCTGCAGTCACTTCCTGAAAGACTCCCGCGGCCCTGCGGCTGAGAGGTAAGATTGTCGGAACTCGGTCACCAGGAAGAGAGCCATTCCTAAGCCAACTCCCTAGGAAGCGTCCTAGACTTGAAGTGGCACCTCCCACCCATCAACTTGTGGACTCTGGTCCAGTTTATAACCCAGAATTTAACCAAAGCCCCACCTATATTTGCCAGTTTCTCCTGAAAGACCTTGCTGTCTGATGATGAACAAAACTATTTTTCCTCGAGTCTCACTTCCCACGAGTGACTAATTAACTAGATGCCAAAGGCCTCATTGGCTGTAAAGTGCGAAAACAGCTGCGACCAAGTTTCTCTCCTCAATCCAAACTGTTCGTTTTTGTGGGGAATGATACTGGATTTGTTCTTTTGTTGTGGGTTGTTTTGTTTTTAAAGAATTTCAGTAATCCAGGCTGGTCTAGAACTCCCCTGTCTTTTGCCTCAGTTTCCCCGTCTGCTCTATGCCCTCCTGTCTGTGATGGCTTCAGACCATCTTTACAGCTCTATAGCCCCCAGCCTTTACGTGTTACTCCCACAAGGATCTGCATTTTAGCCTTTCTACACGCCCTTGGATTGTCTCGTTTCATCACCTCTTTATAAGGTAGGCGTGTGGCGCCATTGAGCAACACTTTAAAGATCTTATTTGACTCTATTTTCTAAAGTTGTACAACACTTTATTCTGTACAACAGAATGTTCCAGTGAGCCAAGCAGAGGAGGTTTATGGTTTTGTGGATAGAAAAGGATTTGAGAAGAGAAACAAAAACACTAGTCACTTCAAAGTCACACTCCTTGGAAGGCAGGAACAGGGAGACAGACCTGTAGAAACATCACTGACTGGCCTGATGTTACTTTGGATGACCCTTTATTATGGGAGGATTTAGACAGATGTCTCTTATGCTAGCTGAAACTGGCCGCTTGGGAAATTTGCTTGTTCTTTCTGTAATCCCGTTTTCTCAAAGGTTAATTTTAAGTAAACAGCACTGTTTCTTTGCCAAAGGAAAAAAACTAAAGAAACCCTGTAGCTTGTTTCCCTGGCTCTTTATTGGGGGGGGGCATGAAATAGCACCCTTGTGTCCAGAGCCCCCCACCTTCCTCTTCTGCCTCCTGAGTACTGTGTTCCAGGTGAGCACCACCGGGCTTCACTTTCACTTGGTCTCAGTTGACTTAGAGTCATTAATATTGGAAGGCACAAAGTCGGACGGTGGTGGCGCACGCCTTTAATCCCAGCACTCAGGAGGCAGAGCAGGTGGATCTCTGTGAGTTCGAGGCCAGCCTGGTCTACAAGAGCTAGTTCCAGGACAGGCTCCAAAGCTACAGAGAAACCTTGTCTCGAAAAAAAACAAAAAACAAAACAAAAAATAAAATGTTGAAGGCACAGCTGAGCAAAATACGTGACGAGTTTTCCATTAGCTTTGTTTCCAGTTGTGTGGGTACTCCCTAGGGACCAAGACCCTGCTGAGTCCCACCCTGCTTCTCCAGAAGCTCTTTAGGACCTGACCTGAACCCATCCCAGTAAACCCAAGTTGCTCCTTCCACTCACTAGCTGAAGTCCCTTTAAAGTCTATCTGTATTCCTCTCGTGATTGACTGTTCTCATCTCCCTTGTCTCTGTGTGAAAAGACCCCCCCAACAATCCAGTAACGGTTTCAGCTTAACTTTAGTGTAATCAATGTGTTCCCTGACTGCTGCTCAGAGGCCTGCCTTGGCTAGCCTTGGAGACCCAGCCATCCACTTCTCAGAACTCTTCTGAGTTCTTACCCTTCTCCACTTCACCCTCCTCTCCACAGTGTTCAGTGGGCACAGCCTGGCAGAAAGATGGACGTGTAACCCAGCACCGGCTTTTGACCTGTCTGTCACCTTGATGACTTCTCCGTCAGGTGCCTTCGCCGTCCAGTTCCCACAGCCTTCAGTCAGTGGCCTCTCGCAGATCACCAAGAGCCTGTTCATCAGCAATGGTGTGGCTGCCAACAACAAGCTCCTGCTGTCCAGCAATCAGATCACCACGGTCATCAACGTCTCAGTAGAGGTAACCAACACCTTCTTTGAGGATATCCAGTACGTGCAGGTGCCTGTGATCGATGCGCCCATCGCGCGTCTCTGCGATTTCTTCGACCCCGTCGCTGACCAGATCCATTCCGTGGAGATGCAGCAGGGCCGCACCCTGCTGCACTGTGCTGCTGGTGTGAGCCGCTCAGCTGCCCTGTGCCTCGCCTACCTCATGAAATACCATGCCATGACCCTTCTAGATGCCCACACTTGGACCAAATCATGCCGGCCCATCATTCGACCCAACAGTGGCTTTTGGGAGCAGCTCATCCATTATGAGTTCCAGCTGTTTGGCAAGAATACAATGCACATGATTAACTCCCCAATGGGACTGATCCCAGACATCTACGAGAAGGAGATCCGTTTTATGATTCCACTGTAAGCCAACCCAACCAGCTCCTATATCAGGGTCAGCAGTACAGATCTGTCATTAACAGTACACCAAGGTCTAAACTTAAACATTCTACTTGTGTTGCTACAGGAGCACACCAGATGGTGCTTTTCATAAGGGCAAGAATAGAGCATTGCCATAACTTTTCACCTCCTAATCCACAGGTTTGGGTTGTACATGCCTTAGATGGCTGAAACAGAAAGATTGCAAGGTGAGTTTGAGGCCAGCCTGGGCAACATAGTGAGACCCTGTCTCAAAAAACAAGCAAAAAACTCAACAATTACTGCCCTGTAGTATGTGTCTTTAGATATTAAATTCATTGGTTAGAGCATGGTGAGGGTAACTCTTCTGTGAGTAGTAGGTCACAGCTACTGTCTGGGGGATGGGGGAGGCAAGTGGTGGCCATGCCAAAGAGACCAGTGCACAGTGCATATGGCAGCCTTGGGATCCTGCAGCTCTCCCCTAGATGACCAACCCAGAGATGGCTCTGCCAAAATCCCACCTCATTCATTCAAAGTCACAGCCTTAAGCATCCTGGTGCTCTCCAATGTCTCACAGTAAGTGCCAACCTACTAGACAAGGGGCCTCCCCTCCACCTTCACCACAGTGGCCCAACTCTGGTCTTCTAGGCCAGACTTGCACAGGGCGTGGATCACAGTGGTGCTCTGATCAGCAGTACTCCTCCAGAAGGCCATCCTGTCTACACACAGCCCTTGGTTTATGTGTCTCAGAAGCCTCTGTGAGAGAAAAGAATTGGCTCATCTGAGAAGTTTGCCAGAGCTCCCACTGTGCAACCTAGGATGCATGCCCAGCTTTCTCCAAAAGGCCTTATGCAGAATTGCAGATCGTGAGATCCAGTGCCTGACTGTTCAGGAGTTATGGGGACAGAGGTCAGGACAAGTGAGTTGACTCCAGGAGGCCCTGAAATTCAGGGTTGCTCAGAATCCCTTAGTGTCAGGACCCAACTCAAGAAGGCTGTGTTTGATTTTAAGAGGCGATTCCAGCCAGGCGGTGGTGGTACATGCCTTTAATTCCAGCACTCAGGAGGCAGAGGCAAGTGGATCTCTGAGTTTGAGGCCAGCCTGGTCTACAAGAACTATTTCCAGGACAGGTAGGACTGACTGTTACACAGAGAAGCCCTGTCTCAAAAAACCAAGATAATAATAATAATAATAATAATTTTTTTAAACAAGAGGTGGTCCCATGCAGCCCAGGCTGTGTAGCCTTGAGTTCCTTATCTCTTGCTTGTACTTAAGGAATGCTGGGGTCTAGGTGTGTGCCACCACGCCCTGCAAAGACCAGGTTCCACTTTGCTTTTTGTGGTATAACACCAAAAGCAGCTTGTGGGAGGAAAGGGTTTATTTGACTTACAGGTCCACACAGTTCACCATGAAGAAACGTCAGGACAGGAACTCAAGGCAGGAACTGAAGCAGAAGCAAGGAGGAATGCCATTTACTGGCTTGCTCCTTCCCCATGGCTTGCTCAGCCCGGTTTGTTATACAGTCTTGGACCACGTGCCTGGGCTGGCACAGCCAAGAGCAGGCTACACCCTCTCCCATATTATTCTTGCATTATTAGTCCAGAAGCCCCACAGACATGCTCACCTAGTGAAGGGACCCTTTTCCTAGGTGACTCTAGTTTGTGTCACATTGACAAACACTAACCAGTTGGTCTGATCTAGAGCTTTCAGATTGTTTATGAGCAAACAACAGTATGGCTGCCCTGTTGGGTGGCTTGTTGCAGTGCTGTGCATCTCGAGCACTGTAGAAACTGCAGACCTTCCCCTCTGTATGAGTCAAGTTCTCCGGAGACACAGAACGGGTAGGGTGAAAAAAAAAAAAAAAGAATTAATTTAGCATATGGTAAATAGTTGTCTTGTACCTGAGAGGTTGGACAGTCAGTGGGAGTGGTTCCACAGCATCTGTCTCTCATGGGAGAGGCCACAGTCCATGAGTCTGTGGCATCAGCAGTCCCAGCCTGGCCCCCAACAGGGCATGTGGGAGGCCGAGAGCATGGGTGAATAATCTTCCTGCCGCCATGCCCTTTTTATCTGAGCTGCTTCCAGACGTGCTGCCCACTCTTGGGTGGGTCTTCCCACATCTATTATAGGCAACCAAGACAATGTTCCAGGTGTGGCTCCCTATAGGTGATTCTGATTTATGGCAAACTGATATTTAAACCAACCACCATACTCCCCAACCTACCTGTGCCCTGTTTTCAGAAAGGGACTGCCCAGAGGTTTGGTATGAGGTGGTCGAAGTGGGAGGAGGCAAGCCGCTGCTCTAGTACTGATCTCACCTTTCGGCAGAAGCAAATCCCTCACCACACACACATACACACACACACACACAGCAGGCAGGTGTGGCCAAGCCTCCACCCTTCAACTCTCTTGGCAGAAACACAGATAGAAATTTTCTTTTAAAAGAGCTTTATTTAAATCTTTTAGTCATTTAAAAAAAAAGCAATCTAGGGGTGGAAAGATGGCTCTGTGGTTCTGAGCATTTACTGCTCTTGCAGAAGACTTGGGTTAGATTCCCATCACCCACCTCGTGGCTCACAACTGTCTGTGGATCCAGTTCCAAGGAATTCAATGCCCTTTTCTGGCCTCATAGGGCACCAGGCATCCATGTATTGCACATACATACATGTAGGGAAAACACTCATGCACAGAAAATAAACATAAATCTTTTTTAAGTTTAAATTAGTATGTCAATTCAACTTTTGAATTCACAATTTTCTGGGTCACCTCATTCCCAAATGGGACTCAACCCACGGCCTTGTGTGTGTTAGGTAAATGCCCTACCACCAAGCTAATCCCCAGCCCAGTTCTTTGATGCTTGTTTGTTTTGAGTCAGGGTTTGGAACTCTTGTCTGGCCTGTAACTCAATATGTAGTCTAGGCTAGCCTCAAACTCACAGAGATCAGGCTGCCTCTCGGCTTCTGCCTCCTGAGTATGCTTACCACTACCACCAACCACCCCCTGCTGGATTTTAACAGGTACATAGAATGACATGATCACCACAAATCAAGAGCCTGTCACGAGTCCTTTTTGTGACCAGACCCCAACCCAAGCCTTCCCCACATGCTGGCAAGCACACACTTGTTGTGTCTTCCTACAGGTTTGCCTCTCCGGGCAGCCTGGCGCTCGCCCCTCACGCAGCCCTTTGTCTTTGTTCTATGGTATTTTTATGGCTGTGCCACTCTTTACCCACTGAAGCATATTTAGTTGTCAGGTTTAGGGGATTATAGGTAAAACTGCCGTACACGTTTGCATACAGGTTATTGTGAACGTGCTTTTTCATTTCTCTAGGGTGTGTACTACAGAATTCTGGTCACATGATGATGGCCTTCTCACCAGAACTGGATTAAAACTAATCATATTCACTCCTCATTACCCTCTCTCATCCCTTCCCACTTTTTCTGAACCCCTTTCTCTTCCCAATAAGTTCCCTTCCATATTCATAATTTTTCTGTGACTATATAAGGAAGTATCCATATTTTTAAAAATTAAAAAATTAAAAATTTTTTTTTTGGTTTTCCAAGGTAGGATTTTTCCATGTAGCCCTGGATGTCCTTGAACTCACAGAGACCTGCCTCTTTGCCTCCCAAGTGCTGGGATTAAAGGTGTGTGCCACCACCTCTCAGCTGTAAGTGAGGAGTTTCCTTACAGTATATTGGTAGATGTCATCACACTATTCTCATTTGTTTCCCTCCCTCCCCTTGTCCATATTTTTTATTGATTTTTTAAACAATATATTTTTGGAAAACACACACATATGGGTATATTTTGATCATCTCCATCCCCCAGGGCCTTCTCCAAGTCCTCCTAGTGCCCTTGTTCTGCCTCCCTTCCGATAGCGTGTCCTCCTTTTGTTGCTGTTGTTGTTATTAATAACCCTGAAACCAGGTGGTGCTGCCCATATGCTCGTGGGTGTGGGATCATCCTCTAGGGTGTGGGCAACTTAGTAGTGGCCCTGTTGCAGAAGGAAAGAGGCCCTGCCTCCCTCAGCAGCCATCAACTGCCAGTAGTTCCTCCACAAGGTAAGGCTTGATCTTGTGTGGGTAACAATGGGTGCTAAGAGTGGACATTACAGCGGCCATGCGGTATCCGCAGCTGGCATGTCCTCTCATCCTCCAGCTCTTACACTCATGAAAGGGAGCAGGAGATTGGCTGATGCTCCCTGCAGAATGTTCTAGCACAGTCACATTGGTTGTAAAGGTGTCAGCTAGGAGTTGCCCTTCTATTCATAGACGTTTTGTGTTCAAATGAGTGAACCTTGCTTAAGGCCTAAACCTATATGACCTTTAAGTGTGACCTTACTCCTTTCCTAGATATTTTTGGGACTCCCCAGAACAAGACTAAACCCTTTTTTACAGTAAAAATGTCTTAACTTCCCCAGCAACCCTGTGATCTAGAGTTTTACCTTAGCAGTGCCCCTGTCCAATGCATAGAAACTAGCCATGACCACCTTAGGCTCAAGTCCTAAGCTACCAGAAACAGTATAGACAGCTGCCATAAAGACACTGAGCCGTAACTGAGACACCCAGACACACGCTCTCGGAGATGTTGACTTTCCTCCCCTGCTCCTCTTTTTCTAAATCTTTGTGCTTAAAATGTTTGTTTTTTAAATAAACTAACTCTGCTTCAGACTGGCTCTTCCTGAATTTCTTTTCTACTTGAAAGCCTAGAATCCAGCTCTACTTGAATGAAGATCCCTAAAACTAAGGGGACTCGACAGGCTGCCACTGGGAGACAGAGTATTTCTCCACTGCCGTCCCGACCCTTGAACAAAGCAACTGTGGAGATTATATTCAGGGAGCCTAGACATACTCCTACAGGAGCTGGCCCATTCCTGGACATGCTCAGTTGGACTTCACAATTGAAGGAGGAAAGAGTAGACACATTGGGACATGCTGAGCTGAGCTCAGGTCAGGGAGCATATGTATACAAAAGACAGAAGGCAGGAATGCCTCAGCATGCGCAGCCTGCCCAAGGAATCAGCTTTTCAGAAAGAGCACTTTGGGAGTGCATTATACAGGATTCGGCCTGTGAAGGTGCCTGCCTCAACTAGTGGTTAGCAGAGGCAAGGAAGGTTCTGAGGGTTTCGTGGAATGATGGCTGGGATGAGCAGTGTCCTTGTCCTCGGGCTCAGCTGCTGGGCTTTTCTCTGGACACAGCCTGGGTAGAGGACTCTCTGGGTGGTCCTGTTTAAGCCCCGCCTCCTAGGTTGGTTGGTAAAACCTGTGTGGGTAGGAAAGAGACCTGCAGGTGTCTTCCTTAGACTTTCTCTTGGTGTTTTGAGACAGGGTCTCAATATGTAGCCCAG